GCATCATTAAAAACTGTTAATTAATTTAATGATTTATTAATAAAATGGGCGATTTGTTATGAAATTAAAAATTTTAGGGGTGAAATGTAACTTTCAAAACCACAAGAACGATTCGTATTTTAATCAAATCTTAAGATGTATTTATAATTTATCTTTCTTTTTTTTTATAACTTATGTAATTTTCTTCTTTTCTTTTCTTTTCTTTTCTCTTGGTGGTTATCAAATACATGTGTGTTCCAAATTAAATTTTATATTAGTTTAGGTGGGACTCATTAACTTTATGATAGTTTTTGAGAGATAATAGAAGTGCAATATGAATGATAAAAAATAAGGCAGTACTGGACCCCAGCACCCCACTTCTACATGAGGGGCTGTGAGACCGAGCTTAAAAATAAGAACAAAAAAAATTTGAATTAATAAAACAATACATGAGGGGCTGTGAGACCGAGCTTAAAAATAAGAACAAAAAAAATTTGAATTAATAAAACAACAACGAGGGTGGTGGAGGTTACCCCACTGAAGGTATTAGTCTTTTTTCAAAAAAAAAATAACCTTATAATCTTAAAATATCCTATAACACTTTCTTTTCCCGCAGCCCTTTCTCTCACTAGCATCTTTCTCCATCACAGGACATTATAGTCCACCAGGTTGGTCTCAATTGACATCCATAGTAGCAAGGATCCTCTAGAGTGATTTTTTTTTAAAGTTTTTTAGAGTGTTTCATTGTGTGGTTGAGATTTACTGGCAAGTCACATCAATTTTTCTGATGTGACTTGCCAGTAAATCTCAACCACACAATGTAACACTCTATAAAATTTTAAAAAAATTTCACTCTAGAGGATCCTTGGTGTAGTCGCCCACCCTTCTATGTTTGTTAGAGATGCGTTAAGTTACTGAAATTTAATTTAATCAAAGCCCCACTGGAAATGATCGTCATAAAACAATCACCGACTATCAACGATGATTATTAAAAAGTTTTCATTAGGGACCGAAGGTGATAGTCGAAAGCTATTAGTGGTGGTCAAAAGCTGTGGCGTAGGCGCATAGGGCTTAGCCCTTGCTTTTGGAATTTTTTTTTTAAATATAAAAAAATATTTTAAATAAAAATATTATTTAAAGTAAAATATCAATGATATTTTTAAAATTATAAAAACAATATAATTATTTTGATTAAAAATAAAAAGACTATGATAAGTCATATTATTATTTATAAAAATTTTAATATAATGGTGATGTCTATCATTATTGAAATGTAAACATAATTAATTTTAATGAAGATATAAAATTTATTGAATTATTAGTTACATTTAATATGTGGAGTTTATTCTCTACGTGTTTCTTTCCATTCATAACTAAATGATCACTATATAAATTATAATCAAGCAACGCATCTTCAATTATAAATAAATAAATAAATAAATAATTACAATCATGAAAAAAATATCATGAAGTGCATCATGAAGATTTTTCATTTTTTGATTAGTGTGTGGTGTTTTATTGTATGTGTAATCCAAAGGTGGAGAATCTTTCATGATCATATTCATGATATTTTTTTCATGATCCCTAACATTACTCTAACTAATATCAGAATGAGTTATAACTGACTATTACTTGATATATAATTATAACCAAAATAATAACCACAAGAAGTTATAACTAAATTATATCTAACACTATAATGTGTTATAACTAAAAATCACAAAAATCATAATTGCGACATATGATAGATATTTTTTTTACGGTATGTTTTATAGAATTTCTATACTAAAATATATCATTTCTATCTTAACTTATCTTCATTTTTAATTTTTCAATCCACCTATAAAATAATTATTCCTCAATATTTGTATAGAAGTTGATTTCAAATCCTTTAATTTAAATTCACATTTATCCTAATAAGTTCTTAATATTTAAGTTTGTAATATCTCATTATTATTTATTATGAAAAAAAAAATTTAATATTAACATCAATTTATGTCCCTTTTCCACTAAATTCCTGACTATGTTACCGGTCAAAAGTAATAAGGTAATGAAATTGTACTAAGGATAATTTGTCCCATGGCAGTGTTTTTATTTTTATTAGGTTTTTTATTGATATTTTTCAATTTACTCATTTGTACTACAATTTTTTTTATGAATTATTTTTTGTCATATTCACAAATGATTCCAATAAACATCCATTTTTTAAAGTTTTTTGGAGGTTTTGGAAGCCAGCTTTTAGCAATTTTTAGAGGGGATTTTTTTTTAATCTTTTCCAAATATTTAATAAATATTACTTTTTATTTCGTAGAGTACTTTTAAATTTATATTTTTTTTTTACCAAAATTCAAAATCAAAAACTAAAAAGGTTAGTAAAAGATATAGCACCAAATGAATATTTGCAATTTAAGCTATTTTTGGTGAAAAATTTGTTAAATATTCTCAAAATGTCATAAAATTATTTATGTGACAAATGTAAAATCACACACAAAGTGAGTCATATTTTGTCTCTCATCTGTTAAACAAAGATGAATTAACATTCTCTACTTGTAAAAAATTTGACTACATAATTAATTTGGTGTATTACATAAATAATAACACCACAGGATACCCCAAATCAATCATATCACCACATGGTACTATGAAAATATGTAACAATTTTGTTTATCCCTATTGGTAGGGAAGAACACATACTCATTAGTTATTATGCATTAAAAGTGGGTTTGAAGCCAAATACTCAATATCGTAGGCAAAGCATAAAGTGACTCATTGGGCTCTACTTTCATCACATAATAATTATGAGTGACTCATTGGGCTCTACTTTCATCACATAATAATTATGAGTGAAAGGGAGGACATCATGTCATCTTGGCTATGTGGTATCCTTGATACACTAACTTTTTCTTGGGGTGGGGTCATGACATTTTATGAACTATTTCTCGGCCATGGGACGATCCCAAAATTCATTGCAGTCATTCAATGCCTCGTTCATAAAGAGATTGGTTGTGTTCAAGATTGGTAGCAATGTCGATCTATGTAACAATCATTCAACTATTTCTTCTAGAGATGGTGGTGATTGCGGAGGTGGCAATGAAATGGTGGTTGCAACGGTGGTGATGGTTGCGATGGTAAGACGTTGGAGGGAGTGGTGGTTGTGGCGACTAGGGGCTACTGGATGGTGATCGGAGATAGTGGTGACTGCCGGAGGTGATGAGGATGATATTAGGGTTAGGTTTTGGGAAATTAAGGTTAGAAGATTAGGGATAAGAGTAAGAATGAAATTTTATATTTGGACAAAATTGGAATAAAAAAAAAATGGAGGAGGGGGTTCTAAGAAAAAATATAAAAGTAAATAGCAGCTCTTTTTGCAATTTTATTAAACCTCAAGATAGGTCAATATAATTAAAAACTAAACCTTAAAGGAGATTTTTGTCATTTCAAAAATCTTAGGGGAGGTTTTAAATTTCATTACACCTTAGGGTAGATCAATGCAACTAAAAACTAAACCTCGAGGGCTTTAAGTCATTTCAAAAACCTCAAAGGAGGTTATGTAATTTCACCAAACTTCAGGGGAGGTCAGTGCGATTTACCCAAAAATAAAATAAATAAAGTTTGGCTAAAAAGGCTGGCAAATAAAACCAACCTCGACAGGCAGATCGGGTTTGTTTGGTCTTTTTCAAACTTTTTTTAGTCAAAAATCATTTTTGATAGTTGAGACTGAGGCCAAGTTTGGCAACTCAAAAATAATCTATCTTTTTATATTTTTATCTTTTTTCATCACATCATCTCTCTACTTTTCTGTACATTTTTTCGTAAAAAGATAAAAAATATACTTATTTAGGTCATCCCAAACAACCCCTTAATTTCTCATTGACCTTCTGTCCATAAATTATGTATCAATTCTTTGTCCTGGTACCATGTGTCCATCAAGAGAAAACCATCCATCAGCTTGGAAAATCTCTCTAACTTCTTCCCTGCGAAACTTTTCCATCTTTGTTAACAAACCTTTTCTTTGGAAAAAATGGAAAGTGAAATGAGGTCATCAAGCAGTGGTAACACGAAATAAAAAGAGAGGAGGGTTGAGAACGAGGGAATGGACACATGGCAATAGGGACAGATCCAGAATTTTGGAGGCGAACATATATACACTAACATAATTTTTAAAAAGAAACTATAGCATCAATTTCTACTAGTTTGAAAAGTGAAAATAAGATGAATATATATATATACATATATATAGATATTTTTTGTATCCATAAGTTACAAAAAATAACAACTATAAAACAATCTATATATTAAAGTGATGGATCTTAAATTGTTGTGCTCGACATTAATTTATGTTATTAAAAATATCTATGACAGAATCGATATTAAAATTTTGTACAATATCTTTTTCAATGAACATGATTAAGTAATTAATTAATACCTTATTCGATTCTTTAGAAACTTGGACTTGTTATTAATAATAGTTATAGCAAAGAATTTTTTTTATTATCCTGTCTAATTTTTTTAAATATTATATTTTGATCTTATGTTTCACAAGAAAAAACATAGAGGTTGTCTATGATATGTACATAATTGTAGCTAATATTATTACGGAAAATGTGTAAGACCCCTACAAAAGAAGACCCCATTGATGTATTGGCCATTGATGTGTTTGATTTTTTTTTTTTAAACTGTGTCTGACAGTGACATTAATGGTTCAAATCATTTTAGGAATTGTGAGAGTTGTATTTTGTGAGAGTCTCCGTCATTACTGTCCTACTATAATAAATGGCATTTTTAAAATCGTAAGGGGGCGATCGCCCCCTCTTGCCCCACTCTGAGTTCATCCTTGCATGGCAACACGCAGGGACTGTGGCTTCAAACAAAATGTACAAAATGCAAATGCAAGCATATCTACAACTCCTAATTCAGCTTGACATTACTGTATCAGTCTGTGCCACATGTGTCAAATTGGGCTTTTCAATCGGCTACAATATCATTTTCCTCAAACAAAAAGAGCAGTGCTACTCAAGCCAAAAAAAATTGACCAAAACCGACTTGGCTAGTTGATTATTCATTGCATCAATTCCGAATGCAAGCAAATCTACAACTCCCAATTCAGCTTTAATAAGGATATTACATACATATTCATGATTTTAATGTAACCACACCGCACTCTCCAAAAAGTCCCATGAAGATGCGTCACAAAATGAACACTCTTACACATAAGTTTACATTAGAATTGATTGGTAGCCTTCCTCACTTTCAATTTCATTCCTCCTGCGGTGAGCAACAACACCAACAGCGACAACTATTGCCACTCCAAACAAGCCTACACCCCAAAGAGAAACGGGTAGTGTCATCTGTTCATGCTTCTACCAAAAAAAACAAAAAAACAGAACATTAGGAGCTTAGAAACTAAAAAAAGTACGTTGATAGAAAAAAATTAAGAGAGCAATTGATGGAGTATCTATGGTTGAGGACAATTCAAATATTCAAACACATCTTGAGAAGGTTTCATGGATCAAAGAACCACGGACATGGATAAAGTTCATGGAAACACCACACAAATTTGACAAATTTTCAGAACATCAAGACATGAGACAGTAAGGACATGGCAACAAATAAATACATTTATATATTATTATATAAAAAATAAGAGATTTCTTTACACAATCTATATATTGGAAAAGAATAGTGGATGTAAAGTCATAATATCTATTTTTTTAAAAAAATTATTCACAAACAAACAAACAAATTGAAAGTTTTAGGATTCAGAGTTCCTAAAATTCACGTTCTTTTGATTTTATTAATTGGCTGGCTCTCCGGTTATTTTCTTCAAACTAGTGAATTGTAATGTATTTTCCATGTGTCTAAGCAATTGACGCATATCATTCTCAAGTATTCAAGACATGTCTGATTCTAAAAATATTAAACATGTTGGGGTGTGTTCAACGAAGTGTCCATGTTGTACACGTCTAACATGAACATGGCAAGCGTTTATGATTTTTCAGATTGGACCATATAAAAGTCAAATCACCTTGTTTGGTTTTCAAACTCCAAATTTTGAGATTTTTATTTTTCATGTTTTTTGTGTTTAGTAAACTTTTTTCATACACTATTCTCTCTTTTTCTTTTTTCTTTTTGTAGGTGCACCTAAAAAGTAATATTTGTGAGGAAATCTTAAAAAGTTCACTAAAGAAAAATTCATTAGTGATTTTTTAAAGATTTTTTCACAAATATTTTATGTTTTAGGTGCATCTAAATTAGGTGTAGCTAAAAAGTAAAAACATTTGACTAACATATAAATAATAAAAAAAAAGTTCACTAAAGAGACAAAGAACACGAAAAACAAAAAACTCAAAAAATAATTTTCAAAAACTAAACCAAACATTTTTAATAATGTTAGAGACACTAATAACTATACCAACTAGAGACAATGTCAGATGCGCCCCACATTGAGTGGTGGAACTCACACGCAAGTCTTGTCTTTTAGCTGATATGTTTGTCGGTATATTTGTCAGGGTTCCTAACATAATATTAATAAATAAAACTAATCAAAATCTTACTTCAACTGGTGCTTCAAGGAAAGGCTTGAGCTCTGGTGGTGATGCATCATCGACCAAAATGTAGAACAGTCCCATAACTCCGGTATGCTCTTGGTTGCTCTGACTGTAATTAGATACTACAACTAGAGTCTCGCCATTGGATATCTTGACAGATCCTGGATGAGGATAACACGTCGACATGCCTACAATGTAACCAGCCTCATTTCCTGGTTCCTTTCCTTCTCCATAAGTCGGTATTGACGAGCAGACAACCCGTCCATCCTAATTGATCCACCACACATACAAACATTGAAAATGACACGAATAACATCAAACATTTCTATGTTAAATAATTTCATTGACGTTTTGTCATGATTGAAAAAGATGCATAGCAATTTGATGGTAATTTAAATAGAATAGACGTTCAACTTGGCATAACAAATGCAGAAATTCAGAGACACCAAAGGTAGGCACCACTGTATAACAAAAACAGCACTTTCATAAACCAAAGGCTCATTTTGCTCCTAGCTTTAAGCTCTTTTTTTTTTTTTTTGTCATATTTAGTGATTTTTTTTTATAAGGTCCGTCTAAACTAAAAAACTTTAAAAATTTAAAAATTAGAATATATATATTTTTTTAAATGCCCATTAAAGACCAATCTAATGGTTACAATCTGGCAGATCAACCATAATTGTCATGTTAAACCAGGCATCGACAGAGATGATGGATTATTATATGTTAGCATTGTATATACTTTAGTAATGTTATTATTAGTATTGTTATTATTATGTTTAGCTTTAGGCTAGCTTTATGCTTTTATGAGGTCCGTCTAAACTAAAAAGCTTTAAAAATTTAAAAATTAGAATTGTTTTTTTTTTAAATGCCCATCAAAGACCAATCTAATGGTTACAATCTGGCAGATCAACCATAATTGTCATGTTAAACAAGGCATCGACAGTGTTAGTATATTATTATATGTTAGCATTGTATATACTTTAGTAATGTTATTATTAGTATTGTTATTATTATGTTTAGCTTTAGGCTAGCTTTATGCTTTAGTATTGTTATTATTATGTTTGTTATTATTATGTTTAGCTTTAGCTTTATGCTTTTGGCTGTGCCTCGCATCCAATGTATATCACAGGCTATAAGAAGAGAGTTAGACTCCTTTTGTAAATTACAAGTTCATATAAACATCTCATTTATTCACTTCCCCTCTCTCTCTCTCTCTCTATCAATTTATCTTACATGGTATCAGAGCCCAGTAATACAATTCTGGCATTCTTCAATTTTGGTGCTTAGTCCCGTACACAGTGGAATTACACCAAACAGTTCGAAATCTCCTTACGATTCCAACGGCACCAAGCCCGTCACCAGAAAATCACTCACGCGCCGCCTCTTTGCTCGGCGCGTCTCTGCTTCCGTTGCCACGCTCACACGCGCCTTCCACTCTGTCCTTTCGTGCGCCGCGCCTGCTACCGTGCACCCGCGTGCGCCATTCGTTTACCGTGAGCCGCGCGTACGCCGTTCCGCTATTGTGCACCCGCGTGCGCCGTTCCGCTATTGTGCACCCGCGTGCGCCATTCTGCTACTATACGCCGCACGCCCTCTCTGCTAACGTGCGCCGCTGACATCATTTTCCATCCTGCTGACATCATCTCTACATAGCCCACCTTTCCTAGCTATTTTCGGCCTTCCGGACTCACTGGTACACTATGTTTTACCTAATTTTGCTCCTACAGGTCTATTCCTATCAATTTAGCCCTACTCCACTATTATTATGGATCGTCATGATGCCTCCCATCCCATTTCCGTTATTTTAAATGGTTCCAACTATGTTCTATGGGCCCAAGCCATGTCCTCCTTCCTCAAAGGCAAGAAGCTCTGGCGAATTGTCACCGGGGATGTGACTAAACCGGTGAAAGACAGTGCCACTAATGAAACTACTCCTCATACTACTACATATGAAGACCGACTTGAGGAATGGGACAGTAAGAATTACCAAATCATTACCTGATTTCGTAATACCTCTATTACCTTTATCAGTCTTCAGTTTGGTCGCTTTCAGTTTGACTCTGTAACTACTCCTGCAAAAGACATCTGGGATTTTTTGAAAGAACGATACCAGACTACTGGTCTTGCCCATCAATATCAACTTCAGAACCAACTTCACCGCATGCGCCAAGAATCCACTCAGTCCATTAATGACTTCCTTTCTCAAATGTACTCTGTTTGGGATCAGCTTGCTCTTTCAGAACCAACTTGGCATAACCACGAAGATGCTGTTTTATTTACTATCTATCGCAACCAGCAAAGGTTGGTGCACTTTTTCATGGCTCTTACTTCCTCTTTTGAGCCCGTTCGTGCCTCTCTGCTTCATCGCCATCCATTGCCCACTCTTGAACAAGCCATTTTTGAGTTGCTATCAGAGAAGACTCGTCTCGGTACACTTCAAACTCATCATGTGGACTCTGTTCTTGCCACTCCTCCGCACCGGCCATCATTTACCCAGCGGACCACTGCTTGCCTCTATTGTCAGAATCGGGGCCTTCCTTCAACCCATCTCCTGGTCAATTGCCCCGTCAGATCCTGCCGCTACTGCAACAAACTTGGTCCTGGTCATCTGCAACAGGATTGTTTTCGCAATCCATCCCGATCATCGTCCAATAGCCACTCCTCTCGCGGTGGCTCTTCCCGGGGAAGCTTTCATCGTTCCGGGAATCAGTCTCATCACACTGCTGCTGCTGCTTCCAAGCATCAGTCTCATCACACTGATGCTTCTGCCTCTGCGGGGTTCTCTGAGTCACCTGCTCCGTCTACCCCTCGCTTTTCTCCGACAGATGTAGAGGCCATGCTCAAACAACTTCTCTCCCCTTTTGGTACACCTCCTCCTACTGCTTTGTCTGTAACCCCAGGTAACTCTTCTTGGTATTTTGACTCTGCCTGTTGTAATCATATGACCTCCAGTTCTTCTATCTTTTCTTCCTTCTCCTCCTCTCCTCATCTTCCCTCAATTCATACTGCTGATGGTTCCCTCATGTCTGTCCGTCATATAGGTACTGTTTCCACCTCTTCTTTATCTATACCTCAAGTTTATCATATCCATGCTCTCACCTTAAACCTTATTTCCATTGGTCAATTATGTGAACTTGGTCTAACTGTCACATTTTCTGCTACTGGTTGTTTGGTACAGGACCCTCAGACGGGGCAGACTATTGGGATCGGCCGTAAGCGTGGACGTCTCTATGAACTCATTCACCTTCATGTTCCTGCCTCTCCTCAGATTGCTGCTCCTACATCTACTTCCTCATTATCTCCCTTTCATCTTTGGCATTGTCGCTTAGGGCATATTTCTGTTAATCGCTTAAAGTCTTTGGTTTCTAGTGGACAGTTGGGTCATGTAATTCCCGATCATTTCGATTGTATACCCTGTCAACTTGCCAAACAACCTGCTTTATCATTTAATAAAAGTACTTCTATTTCCCTTGCACCTTTTGATCTTATACATTCGGATATTTGGGAACCCTCCCCTACTACTACTATGGGGGGATCCCGCTATTTTGTTGTTTTTATTGATGATTTTTCCCGCTTTACTTGGTTTTTTCTCATGAAAAATAGATCTGAACTTAAACACATTTATTATAGATTTGCCCAAATGGTCCACACCCAATTCTCCAAATCCATCAAAATTTTTCGCTCTGACAATGCTATGGAATATCGGGATTCAGATTTCCTTTCCTTTCTTCAGCATCATGGTACACTACCTCATCGTTCTTGTGCTGGCACGTCCCAGCAAAATGGCCGAGCTGAACGAAAACATAGGCATATTCTTGACACTACTCGCGCTCTCCTTCTATCTTCTTCCTGTCCTGAAAATTTTTTGGGGGAAGCTGCCCTCACTGCTGTTTACACTATCAACTGTGCTCCTACCCCTGTCATCCATAATCAAACTCCCTTTGAACGTCTGCATGGCACTCCCCCTCCTTACGCCACTCTCCGGGTTTTTGGCTCTGCCTGCTTTGTTCTACTTCAATCCCATGAACACACCAAGCTTAAACCTCGTTCTCGTCTTTGTTGCTTTCTTGGGTATGGAATTGAACATAAAGGCTTTCGCTGTTGGGATCCTCTCTCTCAACGCCTTCGTATCTCCCGCCATGTCATTTTCTGGGAGCACCAAATGTTTTCCTCGCTATCCTCCTTTCACTTACCCGCACTTTCCACTCCTGTACTGTTTACTAATCCTTCCATAGATCTTTTCTCTGCTGATTTTGATACAGGTTCTCCTTCATCGAGACGCCCTTGCTCACTCCTGATCCCGTCCAGCCTGCTCTCCCTGAAGGTCTACCTCTTATTACCACACCTCCTTCTCTACCGGTTCTTCCTCCCACCGATCCTCCTACGGGTCGACCACGCCGGGTAACTCAACCTCCTATCCATCTTCGTGATTATATTGTTGGATCTGCTGCCTTCTCTACTTATGAACCTACCTCCTATCGTGAGGCTTGTACTAATCCTCTTTGGCAGCAAGCTATGACTGATGAACTCCAGGCCTTGGACAAAGCTCATACTTAGGATCTTGTTGATCTTTCTCCTGGCAAGACTACAATTGGTTGCAAATGGGTTTACAAAATCAAAACACATTCTGATGGCTCTATTGAACGCTACAAAGCACGTTTAGTTGCTCGAGGCTTCACTCAAGAGTATGGTATTGACTATGAGGAGACCTTTACTCTTGTTGCCCGTCTTACATCTATTGGTAGTTTTACTGGTTGTTGCTTCCTCGTGTCAATGGGGTTTATCTCAAATGAATGTCAAGAATGCCTTTATTAATGGTGATCTTACCGAGAAATTTTACATGCATCCTCCTCCTAGCTATGAGCATTCTCTAAATAATGTTTGTTGCCTTTGTCCTACTCTCTATAGCCTCAAGTAGGCTCCTCATGCTTGGTTTTCAAAGTTCAATACTGCCATTGCTTAGTTTGGGTTCTCTTCCAACTCTTAGGATTCTGCAATTTTTATTCGAAAGATCGCACATGGTATTACTCTCCTATTGCTCTATGTTGATGATATGATTATTTCTGGTGATAATCTTGCTGGCACTCATGAGTTGAAACATTTTCTTAGCTCTTACTTTGAGACAAAAGATCTAGGTTCCCTAAGTTACTTTCTTGGCCTTAAGATTTCTTCTACTCTGAGTGTCTTTTATCTCACTCAAGCCAAATATGCATTTTATCTCTTAGCTCATCTTGGTCTCACAGATAACAAGACTGCTCTTACACCACTTGAGTACAACCATCCTCCGGCAAACGATGGGACTCTTCTCTCTGATGCTACTCTTTATCGCCAGCTCGTCGGCAGTCTTGTCTATCTCACAGTCACTCGTCCTGACATTGCCTATGCTGTTCACATTGTCAGTCAGTACATGTCGGCTCCTCGCACTCCCCACTATACTGCTCTACTCCGCATCCTTCGCTACCTCAAAGGCACTCTGTTCCATGGCCTTCACTTCTCTGCTTCCTCCTCTCTTGAACTGCGTGCCTTTTCCGATGCTGATTGGGCTGGGGATCCTACGGATCGACGCTCTACCACGGGTTTCTGCTTCTTCTTAGGGAATTCTCTTCTTGCTTGGCGTAACAAAAAACAATCCCTCACTGCCTGCTCTAGCACCGAAGCTGAATACCGAGCTCTTGCTGATACTACTCAGGAACTTATCTGGCTTCGCTGGCTTCTTGCTGATATGAGTGTTTCTTCTTCTGGTCCTACCCCTCTCTATTGTGACAATCAGAGTGCCATTTAGATTGCTCACAATGATGTTTTTCATGATCGCACCAAACATATTGAGATTGATTGTCATTTCATTCGCCAACATGTTACCTGTGGTACTGTTCATCTTCTCCCTATTGCTTCCGTCGATCAACCCGCTGATATCTTCACTAAGGCTCATCCTCCTGGCCGACTCAACTTGGTTGATGCTTTCCCTCCTTGAGTTTGCGGGGGGATGTTAGTATATTATTATATGTTAGCATTGTATATACTTTAGTATTGTTATTATTATGTTTAGCTTTAGGCTAGCTTTATGCTTTAGTATTGTTATTATTATGTTTGTTATTATTATGTTTAGCTTTAGCTTTAGCTTTATGCTTTCGGCTGTGCCTCGCATCCAATGTATATCACAGGCTATAAGAAGAGAGCTAGGCTCCTTTTGTAAATTACAAATTCATATAAACATCTCATTTATTCACTTCCTCTCTCTCTCTCTCTCTATCAAGTTATCTTACAGACAGAGATGATGGATAGGAACTCCAAAGGAAATAAAATTTTGCAATTTCAATTGTTCATGCGGCAACATGAAAGGACCAGTGTATTAATTGCCTCCAGAAGTTTCACAATCTTTGATGCCATGATCATGCTTTAGATTTATATTACTGATAGAATTGTCTAATAGGTGTTCAGAACCATCACTTTTGTCAGTTCAAAGAGGCAAGTCATATGAACACATGAAAATCCAATCTTTTATTGGTATATGAAATTGAAATCAGCTTCTCTCACAGAATTTGGACTGAACATCCAGTCCAATTGGAGAGAACTGTAGAATTATAAAAGGCTAGTCCGAGTGTATGAGGCTCTTGCCACTATGGGATATGATGAATGTCAGATCTATGCAACCTTACTCTCATAAAAAGTAAGGCAAACAGGAAATTTAATGTAGCAAATTACCTCTCCATAAAGAGTTATACCAATTCCTCCCGTATGCTGGTGTCCAACACCATAGATGACAGTACCACCAGTGGGCATAGTCAGGCTTACACTCTTGGTATCAATGCAACCATCATTAGTCACACCAGTAGCGGCAGAGCAAGACTCAACTTCATACTCCACCTGTATCAAAGAAAGTTCAGCTTCGTATCTACAAAGACAAACCAAAGAACAATACAAATATGGTTTTCCAATTAAATTCATCATTCTTATCCCACTTCGTTGTGTTATTGCTACTACTTGACTTCTAAGTAACCCTTACACTTGCTTGCCTATGTTACATGGACTAGGGTATGAGTATCGGGTGTGAGTGTGTATCCAAGTGTCAGATCTTCAAAAATTTAAATTTTCGGATTTTGGGATACATATCCAAAATTAGATATGGATACGGGGGAGGCATCATATACACATATATTCTCGAATGAAATGTTATAAATTATATATAAAGTATACTTGAAATTGAATAGGATTCAAGAAAAATATGAAATTTCGTTATCTAATTCTTGTGAGAGGCTAAAAATATTTGTTTGGTTTCAATTTTTTTATTTCAATTTTTTGAAAATTGAGTTTTTTGTTTTCTGTGTTTTTTTTTTGTTTTTTGTTTTTTGTGATTTTTTAAAATATTTTAAGCAATTTTTTTAATTTTTGGATGCACCTAATCTAAATGTACCTAAAAAGTAAAATATCAGTAAAAAAATATTTTAAAAAATCAATAAATACACAAGAATACGAAAATGTACTGAATTTTCTTATTTTTTTTATATTTTTGATATTTAGTGATTTTTTAAACTTTTTTTCACAAATATTATACTTTTTAATTATATTTATATTAAGTATATCTAAAAAGTAAAAAAATTGCTTAGAATATTAAAAATAAAAAAACATGAAAAATAAAAAATTCATTTTTAGAAAATTGAATTTAGGAAATTGGAACCAAACAAAGTGATTGCTTTCCTAGCAAATGTGAGTTTCTTCTTCTCATATATTATAACAAATTAAAAGATCCGAGTGTTTAAATTAGGTACAAGTGTTGTACACATATCCCACACCCTTACCCATGTCATATCTAGTGGACACAGGTCCTCTGGGGAAATAAAAAAGTCTATGTAACACAGTTGCTTGCAACATGAAGATCCTACATTTCAAAATCTATCTTAAACCCATCATCTTATGATATTATTTTTTCTTCTTTTTTTGTTTTGTTTTGTTTTCTTTTTAACCTTAGATGTGTTTGAATCTTGGATTTGTGAAGTAAAAAGCAAAGGGAAGGAAGAAATGCATTAAGTAGCTAGAAATCTCTCTTCTTCTTTTTTTTTTTTCACTTTTCCCTTCACATATCATTTTCCTCCACTAATCCATGTTTTTACAAAGCAATACCATGGGTGAGTAAAAGCTGGTACATGTGTGGTATGCCTGTAGAAGAAAATAACTTGGGGCCTGTGAATCTAATCTTAAACCGGAAGATTTTAAGTGCTATAACAAATTTGTCACTGATGTATAAATGCTACTTTAGATCCAAACAACTGCCATCACATCATTTCTTGAACACAAACACAAATTATGTACAAGAAAAATTAGCACTCACCAGGCAATGATGTTTTGTACTGGGTCCAGTTGAATCATCCAATTTTTTCCAAGTATCAGTCACGTCGAAAATATAAATTTTAACAGGCACAACAGAAGCATCCCAATCAACCCAAGTGACAGTATATCTCATGTAGAGCCCTCTCGTGACACTCTCAAAGCCTTCTCTCATCCTGCACTGTGTCTGATCATAGCAACATTTCAAGCCTCCTATGTAACCAGGCCTCAAAGGTTGGCCATATTCATCATGTGTGACATTGTAAAGGTCACACCTACACTCAGTGCATCCTAGCCTATTTTCCACCCCTCGTGTGTCAATTCCATGGACATTCATCAGCCATCTCTCCTCGTATCCAGGAGGAATTTCTGATGGATTACCTGTTGCAGAAAAGTGTGGTGATTAAACTCTGAAATTAGTAAAACAGGAAAAATAGAATTGAAGCAGTAGGCAAGGTACAACCAGAATGCTATCTTTAAGATAACAATTCCCCCTCTGATACAAAAGGATTCTGGGAAATTTTACCTCCAGGATACAATGCCTAGTATGAAGACAGTTCTAAGATTGTTATTGAAAAGTGTAAGTGTAGAGAGATTATTGTTACTAATATATAGCATTACCGACTTCTATGCCATAAGGATCGGGCACGTGCGTGGCTGTTTTGCGCGTTTCAGAGCCAAGGCCAAAATACTGCCCAAGATTGGTTTTGCACGGTCCAGAGTTTGCCCCAACAATAAATTCAGATTGGTGAAACCCCATGTTGCCATTGTGTTTTGGAACTTCAACACCTTTGGGTTGATAGTATCTGTACACAACCCAGTGGTGGAGATAGGTTTCATGGAGTGGAACGGGATTTCCTGCCTCATCAACTACTTCAGCATTGAAATTCTTGATAGCAATGTGACCTGTTGGAAAGTCGATATTGTAGTAGAATTTGTTGACCACTGATCCTGGTCCCAATTCAAACTTGGGTGATAAAAAGACAGCTGTTTTTACACCATTTTCATTCTTCACACGAGCTAGTGAATTTGAAAGGCTAGAAGCCACTAGCAGAGTTACTAAGCAAAGCGACCAAACTTGTGAAAAATGCACCATTTTCTCCTGTTGATGTCATGAACAATTGAAATCAGAAACTCATTGAATAGAATACGAACAAGATTAATTTCATTTTATGTTCGGCAACGCTTTTCAAGTTTTTTATTTGACACGACAAAAAACAAAAGTCAACAGAATACATTTTTTTCAACATGAGAATATTTTTTTGTCAAAACAAGCAGATTTAGAAAATCACCACCACCACCACCAAAAGAACAGCAAAACAAACAAACAAACAAACAATTAAAAGAATGAATAAATGTTGGGTTAACACACAGCACTTTTGCAGTGTACAGAGCAAGTTGTAGAGGATCTCAGTTAATTGCTTATGGGGGCGTTTGGCAAGTTGGATTTTAGCCTCTCTTTTTTTTCGGGTGGCTAAAAAATAAAAAAATAAAAAAAGGCTAAAATAGTTAATAAGACAAAATGTCACATCAAATCCATAATCATTTTATTTTTTCTTTCACAAATATCACATCCAATTACAAAAAAATCAAATTATATTCTCAAACACACAAATTTTTATCTACTAAAATAGCCAAAAACTAAAATAGTCTACTAAAATAACAACTTTCCAAACACCCACTATATGTGTCAGGTAATAACAGAACTAGATCATATGAAATCTAACTATGTGCAGTTGATTTTGACATAGTTTTGCTAAAAACTGATACTAAGGCCTCGTTTGGGAACCTTCCCTTTTAGTTAAAAAGTCACTAAATTAGTCAAAAAGCCAACAACCCATACCAAAAAGTCAAAGATTCTCTTTTCTCTCTACGTTTTGCACATCTTTTCGTAAAAAGCCAAAAAGCCATCCCAAACATACTAGTTTTTTTTAGTTCATATTTTAGCTAAATAGTCAAAAAGTTACTAAATTAGCTTGTTCCCAAACGAGACCTAAAGCCCTTTAGCTCAGAGCAATTAAAGAACATGTTTTCCAAAGTAACCAATTGTATAACAGAAATCTAGAGAAAACGGGTGTGCTTGGATTGGTTTTGGGAGAAAAATTTTCAGAAAAAAATTAGAAAAAGAGTTTAGAAATTTTTTTGGTTTGTTTGGTTGTATATTTTGGAAATAGTTTTGGAATATAGAAGTTTGGGATGATTTGATATTTTGTTGTAGTTGAGTAGATGTGTGTGAGAGAAAAAGTTATTGAAAATGAGAGAGGAGAGAGAAAAATTAATTGATTGATTGATATATAGGAGATAGAAAGCCTCCGTTTGGAAGTGAGTTGGCTTTTTGACTTTTTGGCTTTTTTAGCTATTTTAGCCTGGGCTAAAAAGCTTGGTTTGGAAAGGACTTTTTAACTTTTTGACTTTTTTGGCTTTTTTTGTGAGAGAAGAGTGTAATGATTATGGATTGGATGTGATGTTTTGTTTGTTGTGGCTAAAATAGCCTGTTTTGTCTTTTGTGTCTAAAATAGTAGGGGTGAGCATGGTTCGGATTGGACCGGATTGGGGTAAAACTAGGACCAATCCGTTATCTACGGTTCCTAAAAAATTGGAACCAATCCAATTGGTTTTAATCATGGGACCAATCCGAACCAATCTATTTAAATATGGATTGGATCGGTTTAGGACCACGGATTCACATAATTAAAGTACAAAATATATATATATATATATAACACTTTAATTTCATAAAAATATAAATATAGCGCTATATTAGTTCCACAATAGCAATATGTTTTTCTATAATAGCAACATACTGTTCTAAAATTTAAACAACCATAAGAAAATTAGTTTCACCATAAGTATTTAGGCCATTACAAATTAAAATTAAAAACTATCAAACAAAAATAATAAAAGAAGATATTATACAGTTTTATATTTGAGTTTAGATTTTATATAGAATAAGAGTAGATACTGTGGGGGAGGATGTATAATAAAAATATAGACTATTTGTATACGGTCCGAATCGGTTCTAATCCGGAACCGTGGGGTTTAATCCGAAACCAATCCGTAGACTACGGATTTTTAATTCTTCAATCCGGAACCGAACTGCGGATTCAAAAAACCAATCAAAACCTATCGGATTGGACTGGACTAGATTGGATTACGGATTTCACGGATTTCTTGCTCAGCCCCATAAAATAGCCCCAAACCTCCTTGCCAAACGGAGCCAAAGTGATTTTGGAATTTTTTTTTTCAAAATCACTAAACCAAACAAAATTTTAGAAAATTTTTTTCAAAATTTATTATTCAAAAACAACCAAACAAGGCCGGAAACTAGAAAATCCGAAACCTAAAGGGAAAGAAACTTCAAACACTGAAGGCTATAGGATGGGCCAAAAACTGAGTCAGTAAGAGCATCTCCAGTGGTGTAGTTATGCACAGATGAAATTTATTTTTACATTTAACTTATCTTAATTTATTTGTGTCAAATTAACTCTCACTCAGTTTATCTTCACATGACATAGTTGTAATTAATGAGGTAATTTTTATAAAAAGAAACTGGTTAAAGGTATAGTAAAAAATAGAATATTAACATTGTGTTAACATAAACATACACACTAGAGTTTTTTTTTTTTTTTTACACTGCTATTTTAATACTGCTACACCTAAATACTATACTATTGGAGATACTCTAAAGATGGCTAACTCAATGAATAAGCAAATTAAAATGGAGTCAATTGAAATTATATACCTTATCATAAATAAATAATGAAATTATATACCTTATCAGGTGAGAATTACCCATAAACAAGACTGCGCGGGTAAGTAAATATGAAAAAACAAAAAGCCATCTTGAAATTCATGCATAGCCACAAAATCATTATCTCTTGTATTCTATAATTGAGATGAACAAAGTAATACAAATTCAAAGAATAAGTAAATTGCATTTGGGTTACATTAAAACCCCAAAGTACAAAGAAACCCCATTTGTCTCCACTGAAAAAATAAAAATTGATTTAGCTTAACACTAAAAACCAATTTTTGAAATTGAAAATCTATCACCCTATATTAGATACATGTGATTTCAAAATTTAATCAAAAGAACTGCAAAACAAGTGGAAACAATATGACAATAATAATCACCAAGAAAAAGCAAATGAAAACTAACCACATGTGAAGCACAAAGAAACTGGGTTATGAAAGTTATGAGAAGAAAGAGAGAGAGAAATCAAAATGATTGTAAATAAAGAAGATGAGACAAAGAAAGAGCATATACAAACCCAGATGAGGATGAAACGGACGATGATTCAGAGGTTTTTTTGTTTAGTGAATTTCCATGAAAACACCAACGTTTGGGAGACTATGAATTTTGGAGGTTTATATAAGTCTTCAGACCTCAAATCGGGTTCAATTCGAAAGATGACAAATTCAATAATCTCCAAAAAAGAAAATAAAAAAAATACTTTTTTATACGTAGGCTTTGGGCAACAATGATTCATCCAACTAAGTTGCGTGCATTAACAACTACTAATGAGAGGTGGAAATTTAAAAATAAATAAATAAACAAACAAATAAGTGTAAAATATCTTATCAAATAAGACCTATACTTGATAATGGTGTGATATTTTGGTCTTAGAATTATATATATATATATATATATATTTTTTTTTTACTTTTTTAATATATTAGTGCTATTAGTTGTGATGTTTTTATTGGGATGAATCATTGTTGTTTTAAAATTATTCAGTGTGTTTGGTTTGAGTTTTTTGAATTAATTTTTTTGAAAATTGAGTTTTTTTATTTTCGTGTTTTTTTGTTTTTAGTGAATAATTTTAAACATTTTTTTACTTTTTTAGATGCATCTTACTTAGATATATCTAAAAAGTAAAAAATTTATAAAAAAATATTTTTAAAAATTAATAAATACATAAAAATATAAAAAATGTACTGAATTCTCGTATTTTTTTGTATTTTTGATATTTAGTAAATTTTTAAAGGGTTTTTTTCATTTTTTTTTAATTTTTAGATATATTTATGTTAGGTATGTCTAAAAATTAAAAAAATTACTCAAAATATTAAAAAAAATCAATAAAAATAAAAAATACGAAAAATAAGAAAGTAAAATTATCTCAAAAGTGTTTTTTTGAAAAATAGGAACCAAGCATATCCAATGGTGAGCATCTCTGCACACGCCACGTGTTGTATTGGTGAGCGCAGTGCGTACGCCATCGCCAGATGATTTTACCATTCACTGCCTGCCAGTAGAAAAAGTCAAAATAGGATGACCAAGCCAATAATGCTTGGTTGGTCTTTTCGGATGATCAGCACACTGGCTCTGTCTTGTTTTGAGAAATAATTTAGAAGTTAATTTTTTAATTTTTTTTAAAAAACATGTAAAAAAAAAAATAGAAATACGATGTGATTTACAAAAATTAAAAGCAGTTACTTTTAATTAAGGTCTTGTTTGGAAACGATTTGTTTAATAATTTTTTGATTTTTTTATTAAAATATAATGTAAAAAAATTAATATGTTTGAAATAAATTTTTAAATACTTTTATAAAAAAAGAAATAATCTATACTATATATTAAACAAAATGGAGTTTTTAACTCACAGGCCTTGTGAGCCAGGTTTTAAAAATCGGACCGGACCGGCCGGTTGAACCGGTGACCGGATGGGGTTCCGGTCCGGTCAGCCCCCTTAAACCGGCCAAATGTAAAAACCGGCCTATTTATTGAAAACTGGTGAACCCACCGGTTAAACCGGTGAACCGGTCGACCCGGCTTAATGTTTTCTTTGTTTTTTTTATTTTCTTTCTTTCTTTTCTCTTTCTTTCTTATTTTATATATATAATATAAGAATATAAGAAAATTTTAATTTGAAACTCTGTTTCTAGGGTTTCTTTATGAGGAATCCCATTAAGAGTTTGATGAAAATTATTGTGAAAGTCACATAAAAAACTCTTTCAAAAAACTCAAGAAATCCATGTGCGGATTCAATCAAATGTTATTGGGAGGAATATTGACAATTTTGATATCCCTCCAAAATTTATTGCTTTCCTTTCAATACAATTATTTGAATTTAAAATCATCATGGAGGAATATTAAATATTTGATTTCATCTTCCAAAATTGAAATTAATAATATTTTTAAAATATATTATTATATTTTTCAGTAAAAAAATATTAGGACAAATATTTAAGATAATTTAATATTTTTATATTTTTAATTTTTAATTTTATTACTTATTTTATTTAAAATATTATTATATTTATTACGTCGGTTTGATTCCGTTCAACCCGACGGTTGAACCGGTGACCCGTCCACCGATGCCTTTTCCGTTTGTTCACGCGTCCGGTTTTTAAAACATTGCTTGTGAGAGCTCCAAATTCCTAATCCTAATTTTCTAATTTTTTGATTTAACAAAAAAAAAAACTCAACATTTAGTGTTGTGATTGGTAACGTTTACGTTTTCAGTTTATATTACAAAAATTTTATAAACTGGTTTTTGTTTATTTTTTAAAAAACATAAATACAAACGCGTTGGTATATTGTAAAATATTTTAAAAAATTTAAAATACAAAAAAGGTGAGAAATGGCGTGGATGGAGTGCGGCGGAAGACGGTGGTAGAAAGTGCGTGACAGTGGAGTGGTTGGTGAGTGTGAGGTAGTGGGAGCGGTGACGGGGTGATGTGTGGTAGCGAGTGGTGGTGGTGGTGGTAAGTTGTGGCGGGTGGTGGTGGAAGTGGGGTGGCAGGTGCAGGTGTGGCGGTGTGGTGTGGGTGACGAGGTGTGGTGGTGGGGATGGGTGATGTCGGGGGTGTGGTGGTAGCGAGTGGGTGGTGTGGTGGTGTGACGCAGGGGGTGGCGGGATGGCAGGTAGTGCTGGTGGTGGTGCGGCGTGGTGGCAGGTAGGTGGGATGGCGGGTGTAGTGGGTGGTGCGGGTGGTGGTGATGGTGGGTGGTGGGTACGGTAGCGGGTGGGGGTGGTAGCGAGTAGGTGGTGGTGGTGGCAGATGGGTGGCGGATAGCGGTGATGGGGTGGGTGGTGGGTGGGCGCGTGGGCGGTGGGTCGGTAGCGAGTGGATGGTGGCGGTGTGGTGGTAGCGTGGGTGCGGGTAGTGGATGGCGTGGTGGTGGTAGGTAGGTGGCGGGTAGGTAGGGGGTATTGGTGGGTGGTGGGTGCGTGGGTGGCGGTATGGGGTGACAGGTGTGGTGGGGTGCATGGGGGCTGGGTGGCAGTGGGTGCAGGGTGGTGGCTGTAGCGTAGGGTGTTGGTGGCAGATGGGTGGTGCGTGGTTGGTTGTAGGTGGTAGGTGGGCGTGGGTGATGGGGTGTGGCGAAGACGGTGGTAGAAATAATGGCGGGTGGTGACTAGTGTTGGGTGGTAAAAAGAAAAAAACTCAAAACGGAAACACATTTTTTTGGTTTTCATTTTTTGACAAATTTATAAACTGAGACCACCGATTTATAAATCAAATATTACCAAATAAGTTTTATTTGAGTTTTTTAAATTTTTATAAATATAAATAGAAAACTGAAAACGCAAGTGTTACCAAACGGTACCTTATTGTTCTCCAACCAACCTCAACATTTATTAACTTCTCCCAACCCACCATCCCTTTGACTTCTCTAATTTACTGCAACACTCTTTTCAATTTTTCTCATACATTATGGTTACACACAAAAATAAAGAGATAAGAATTTAGCTATAGATCTCAAAAAAATATAACATCTAATTTGAATATGATTTAGTAATAATTAGTATTTTTTATATTATCTATCAAAATTTTATAATCACTTAATGGGACAAATTAATCAATTTTCTAAAATTATTAATTTTTTAATTTACAAAATAGATTAAAAAAATACTAACTGATTTATTTATTTAATACAAAAAATTTCATAATCTCTCCCTCTAATGTCTCTCACCATTTCAAAAAAAAAAAAATTAAACTTGCATTCATTTTTCTTCTCAAAAAATCATTATTATTTTTTTTTATTAAAATGTAGATATCTATCTATATCTATATATTATATTTAATATAAAAATAAAAACTAAATTTTTTTAAAGGTTATCTAATAATTATAATAATTTTTTTAATTTACTAAACTTCCGTGCATAGCAGCGGTTACCACTATCTATATATCTATCTATATAAAAAGGAAAAAGGGGTTTCTAACCCTTAAGCCTTATGGGAGCTCCAATATCTCAATTTGAATTTTCCAATTTTTTTATTAAAAAAAACACTTAGCATTTATTGATTTTGTTAAAATCCTCTGACAGCATTTTAAATCCACTTATACAAACAATTATAGATACAACCGTTACATAGCTTACGTGTAGTACCATTTTCAACTTCTCCCACACACTATGGTTAGTGATAAGATTGTTAAATTATTTTTATAAAAAATCTTAAAAAATATAATTTATATATCAAAAAAAATCTAAAACAAATATAAATATCTATAATTATCTCGTGCATAGCACGGGTGATAGGCTAGTATATACTAAGTAAAATGAGGTTTTTAATCCCAAGGCCTGTGGGAGCTTCAATATACCAATCTGAATTTTCTAAATTTTTATTAAAAAAAAAAAAACTCAGCATTTATTAGTTTGGTCAAAATCTCTTGATCAGTATTTATTAATTTTTTTCAATCTTACATTTATTGATTTGATCAAAATCCTCTGATTAGCATTTAAAATCCTTTCATACAAATAATTATAAATACAATCCGTATATAATTACTGTAGTACCCTTTTCAATTTCTCTTATATACTATAGTTAGTGATAAGATTGTTAAATTATTTTTATAAAAAAATTTTAAAAAATAATTTATATATTAAAAAAATTTAAAATAAATATAACTATTTATAATTATTTGGTACACAGTACATGTGATGTGATAGGCTAACATAAATAATTAAAAGTGGGTAAAGTAGCCGAAGTGCCCTTGTCATGCATGCCGTGCATGAGTCCAGATCCCCTCCTTAAGCCCCTCCTTCATTCCCTCCTTGTAGGGCCTTCGGGTTCACTTTGAGGCCCAGTTTTGATAATCCGAACCGTTTATATTTTTAGATTTATTCAGTATATTATATCTATAAAAAATCAAGTTGATCAGATATCAGAAAGTATGCGTTCAGAAAATTGGGACTACAAACTATTTTTTAATAAATAGTTTTCCGAACACATACTTTATGATATTCGATTAACTTGATTTTTTACAGTTATGATATACTGAATAAATCTAAAAATATGAATGGTTTAAATTATCAAAATTGGACCCGAAAGACCTGTAAGAAGGGAATGAAGGACCGAGATGAAGGGGAGTATCCCAATTCGCCGTGCATAGCACCCCGCGACAATCTGATACTGATGCGGCAGACGGCAGACCTGGCATCATGTCATGTTTGTAAATTTTATTTTTTAATTTTAT